TTCTCGTAATCCGAGCATTGGACTTTTCTTTTTTTATCCTTCTTAATCTCCCTCTAGTCCGTGTTTGGAGAGGAATGCGACATGCGGGATTGACCCACCGATTGTGGAAGCTCTATCGGAGCCCATACGGGACTTTGGAGACTGGGAACTCAGAGGTAGGCCGACCCGATACCTCTAGAATCCCAATAAACCCCTATCTAAGCAAACTTGGAGTTTAGTCTGTTTGACTTTAACTTGTATACATGTCTTGATTGTTTTTTCATGACTTTAACTGAATCGAAAAGGGAATCTGTTATGCATGTTAATTCATTTTTTTGTGATAAAAATCACGATCTTTGCAAGCGATGATCTGAACTAGAGTTGAAGATGAAGTCCTCCTGACTGATCCGGTCGCTTTGCTCATTTGCTTAAGACATTGAAATGGGTTGGAGATGAGGTCCTCTTGACTGATGCGGTCACTTTCTTCGTTTGCTTAAGACATTGAACTGGGGATGATGATAAAGTTATCCTGACCGATTCGGTCGCTTTGCTCGTTTATCTAAGACATTGAACTAGGACTGGAGATGAGGTCCTCTTGAGTCTTGACTGATCTGGTCGCTTTGCTCGTTTGCTTAAGACATTGAACAAAGTTGGAGATGAGGTCCTCCTGACTGATCTGGACGCTTTGCTCATTTGCTTAAGATATTGAACTGAGGCTGGAGATGAGGTCTTTCTAATTGAGTCGGTCGCTTTGCTCATTTGCTTAGGACATTGAGCTGGGGCTGGAGATGAGGTCCTCCTGACCGATTCGATCACTTTGCTCGTTTATCTACGACATTGAACTAGGGCTGGAGATGAGGCCCTCCTGACTGATCCGGTCGCTTTGCTCGTTTACTTAAGACATTGAACTGGGTCTGGAGATGAGGTCCTCCTGACTAATCCGGTCGCTTTGCTCGTTTGCCTAAGACATTGAACTGGGGTTGGAGATGAGGTCCTCCTGACTGATCCGGTCGCTTTGCTCGTTTGCTTAAGACATTGAACTGGGGTTGAAGATGAGGTCCTCTTGACTGATCCAGTCGCTTTGATCCTTTACTTAAGACATTGAATTGGGGTTGAAAATGAGGTCCTCCTCTTTGACCCGGTCGCTTTGCTCGTTTGCTTAAGACATTGAACTGAGTCTGAAGATGAGGTTTTCCTGACTGATCCGGTCGCTTTGCTCGTTCGCCTAAGACATTGAATTAGGGTTGGAGATGAGGTCCTCCTAACTGATCCGGTCGCCTTGCTAAGTCAGTCAATTATGCTTGTTGATAAAGGTCCGACTCTTCTCCTAAAATGAGGTCCTCCTGTCTGATCCGGTCACTTTGCTCGTTTGCTTAAGACATTGAACTGGACTGAAGATGAGGTCCTCCTGATTGATCCGGTCGCTTTACTCATTCGCCTAAGACATTGAACTAGGGTTGGAGATGAGGTTCTCCTGACTGATCCGGTCGCCTTGCTAAGTCAGTCAATTCTGCTTGTTGACAAAGGTCCGACTTTTCTCCGAACAAGAATAGTCCAAGCTAGTGTGTTAGTAATTGCATGGGGTTTGATTGAGAACAACTTAGAAAGTTAAAGATTAACTAAATAAGGTACATAACTCATGTCTTTGTGAATCATGACAAAAAGAAAGATGAAAACTTTGGATGAACGAACCCTTGAATGCGTTGTTGACCTGACATGCTTGCTGACAATGCCTTGTCTTTTACTCAAGCTCTGTCTGTTTTCTGCTTAGTAGAGTAGTCTGTTAGTGCTCGCCTTATGCCTGAGATGTTCACTTTTGTTTCCGCATTGTTTCTTCATGCATTAATGCTTTGGTATGACTTTGGTTAGCCTCTGAGTTAGTAGAAATTTTGGGAGCCTTTTTCCCTTAGGGGAGATGCTGTCGAAATTTCTGCTATAAAACTCAAAGTTAGTCAAGGCTCTGAGATGTCAACTAGGTTAGGATGAGTTTAGTCTTTGGAGTCAGTAGGAATTTTGAGCGCCTACCTTTCTAAAGGGAGTGCTGCCGAAATTTTTACTAAAACCATAAAGTTAATTTATTTTGAGATAGTTTCTGAGTCTCGAGTCTCTTTTTAAATTTCGACTAGTAAATATTTTTTTAGTACACGTCCCTAAAGGAAGTGTTGTCGAAATTTTTGTGATTTTTATATCATTACCGCACGTTACTACCAAGTAGAGTAGAGTGCAATACGGAGTTGATCTCCGTTAACTCGACAAGCCGTGCCTGCATTGATTTTATGACGCAGGTCACCGTTACTTGCGAGTACTCTCATAGATCTTGAGTTTCATCAACTTCTATTATCGAACTGATAGCAAATCGATTTGCGACTCAACTCCTACCCACCATGATACCCATGTCCAAACGTCTATGACCCTGTAGGCGAAAGACATTTTTGTATGAAAGAAATCCCATCCTTGGAACCTCTCTTGAATCGCCATGCAAAACTGTGTGAATCGAGACAAACGGGTATGTCTTTGTAGAGAGGGGCTTAGAAAGGGGCATGTGGGATATGAATATGGGAATAAAGGGTTTGACAACGTTTTGTTATACTTGCATGTGGGTTTTGGGGTTTCATGTGTACGCAGGTGTATAAAGGAGCGAGGGTTTACTTATGAAGTGAGGATGATATTGATTATTGAATGCGGGTGTGAGTGACAAAATTCTCTTCTGGCAGTGAGAGTGACTCTCTCTGATCTCCTCCGAGACCTCCCCTTTTCGTTTTCATTACACTTCCTTATATCGAACGAATCTAGCGAAAAGGCAGGGGTAGCCGAGTGCAAGGTCCAGCACTCGACCTTCGATTGGTCTAAAGATTAAATTTGGGTACAACGAATTGCTCGCCGACCCGTAACTACTCGTCTTTTATTTCTAAAAGGGAGAAACGAGCGAACCCCACCTTAAAAGAATTTTGGTTTTTAGATCATTGGTCGGACTTTGGTCATGAGTCTGAAATTCGAGGTGCTTGTCCAAGACATTCCAGACTCTGGTCCAACAAAAAAGGTGAGTCAGACCTATGTCCCTTGCCTATCGTCACCCACTGCCTAAAAGACAGGGGTGCCGCAAGGATTGAACTGCTTATCCTTCAACCGTTCAATATCGTGAAGGAGAGTCTCTTCACGGTATTTCGCTTTCGACACTTGAATGTCGTACACACCTTGAAACCCATGAGAGGTTGCGCAGTAGTGGGTAATGCATGAAGCGTCGCCATGATAGTCGATCATGTGAGCACGCATGGCTGAGTATTATGGTCCGCTTAGCGCCTGCATTCTTTTTATGCAACTTTGCACAGACCTCGCTTAGGCACTTTAGCTTCTTCTTAGTTATGGGCCAGAACGTTTGAAAAGGGACTAGACTTATATGATTGTTTGCGCTTATTATTTTTATTTCGTGTCGCGTGGTTGAGTTAGGTTGACCTAGTCGACCGGCGCTGAAATGCACGTGGGAGATCATCGCCCCAACGTGACAGTCGCGTACGGGTCCGAGCTAGGCGTGGACCACGCGTACCCCCTATGCTATAACGTACGAGAAATGTCCGCGGTTGCACATAAAAGCTTTTGCGTATGGTTCAATAGCCCGGCGGGGATATGCCTACCCAAAGGATGGTAACAACTCTCGCGGGTGAAGGTAAGTTTTACCTCGGGAGACCCTATCTTGTCGTAATGGCTCGATGGAGGTATAGCTGGCGCACTCGCCCGGAGCGGCTCCGCCTCTTCCCCTTCCGTAAAGCGACTTGCGAATCTGCCAATCCTGCGTGACGCGGCTGGGAAGGTCCCCCGAGCGGGGACCGTGTGCTTGACAACGGTGTGAGGTTAGAACATCACAAACTTGCTCGCTGTAAGACTGTATCGCATAAGATCATCTCATCTAATACCTTTAAGTCCTTGCACTTGCTGTCACCTTGAAAAAAGAACAAGGGTCTTAGGAGGATATAGGGACAGGCATGGTAACAATGAACAGGGGGGCTGCGGAACAGGGCTGGGCCAATAGATAAAGGATGCTCCAAGACGCGATGGGTGACACTACCTAGCGGCTCCATGGGAGAATAGAGCCCCAAGGTAAGAAGAGAAATGACTACAGCCCAGGAAACGACAAACAGCAAACATTGTGCTATAAGGTTAATCAATGGGACGCTGGACCTGGTTTCCAGCAGGTGTCGCTCCCCACCAATAGATGGAGCCCCGACAGATGAGCCCTCAATTCTGACGGTTCTCTTACCACCACGGGGATAGAGGGCTTACACATCCGCTATTATGGAAAAAAAAAAGAAAAAAAAAGAAAAAAAGAAAAAAAAGAAGAAAAACGGAAAAACGGAAAAAAAAGAAAAAAAAGAAAAAAAAGAAAAAAAAGAAAAAAAAGAAAAAAAGAAAGAAACAGCAGTGTGCATGGCCAGCACTCACACACCACACACAACCCCACAATCCCACACACACACATACACACACACACCCATGATGGCCAAAGACCCTACCAATACAGCCTGGGCGGAGCAAGCCAACTATCACAGTTGGTTTGGCTCTTAGCATGGCCCCCCCCCCCCCACACCCGTGATGGCCAAAGACCCTACCAATACAGACCGGGGAGAGCAAGCCAACAACCTCAGGGGCCACGTGTGGTCTGTGCAAATAGAACCTCGCCCCAGGGCCCGGCTCAGTGGGCCCTTGTTCCACTGAGGAACAGGGACCGCTGGTACCACGTGAGCATGAGCCTCATCAGCTGAAGGGAGGACAGCACCAGCAGGGGCTGGCGAACGCATCTTCCCCCTTGCCCTGTCATCTACTCGTCCGCTCCGCCTCACCGCCTCGCTTCGGGTCCCTTTGTCCCTCCTTTCCCCTCCCGTTCGCGTGCACCTCCTCTCAGCCACCCTCTGGCAGCGAACACAAAACAGATTCTCTTTGCCACGTCACTAGTCGGCTCGGTCAATTTGCTGGGCGGCGGCGGGTCTCGGCAACCGGCCGCGTGGCATCTCGGGCTGACCTGCGGTGGTCGAGCACCAGCCTGTCAGACCCCTCACGGAGTGATTTATGCCCCACCTCTCCGTTCGCTAGGGCCCCTCACTCATACCACTACCACTATTCGTCCAGCGTGTTCTGTCATTCGTGGTCATCTTCGTTTTTTTGAATTCGCCAGGGCTCCTCTTCGGCACTTTCTCCCGCTTGTCATCATTCATTCATTACCACCCTCGAAAATGCTCTTTGGCTTCTTGTTGTTCTCTTTGTCGTAGGCGAACTTCCTCCCCCTTTCCCCCCCCCCTCCTCCCTCCTCCCTCCTCCCCTTTCACGTGCGTGGAGAGGCACAGACAAGCACCCGCGCGCTCACACGCACACACCCACACACACACGCCCACGCACCCGCACCCGCACCCGCACGCACACAGACACACACACACACACACACACACACACACAGAGAGAGAGAGAGAGAGAGAGAGAGAGAGAGAGAGAGAGAGAGAGAACGGAGATTGCGATATGGTGGCCTCCGCTGCCATCAAGCGCTTTTCTACTCAAATAGGCCGGCATGTCCGATCGGGAGTGTTGCCACCGTCGCTCGAGGACATTGCGCTTAGTTTCGTTCGGTCGTCGCCGCGGTCTGACATATCGGCCGTGGGGGCTTTGGCGGCGCTCTCGGCCTTGCCCGGAGCAGGAGTAGCAGCAGGTTGCGCGGGAACTGCATCTTCTTCTCCCGGCGATGTCTCCTCTACACCCTCATCGTCCTCGTCTTCCTGCTATGGCGGGAGCCTGAATGTGATGGGTGGTGGTAGTTGCTTGTCCTCCAACGGCCTCTCTGCTCCAACCACTACTCCTTTCGGAAATCGACGGTTGATGTTCACCTCTGCTGGCAGGCCGATGGGCCCGCCTCCTCCTTGCTCTACTTCCACGACACTTCCGAGGGGTCGTGAAGATGACGATTTGCTCCTTTTCCGGGGCTTTTCCACCTCCTCCTCCTCCTCCTCCTCCGTCTCTTCTTCCTCCTCTTCTCCACCCCTGGGTATCGACGGCGATGAAGTCCGCGCTTCACCATGGCCGTCCCTGGAAGACACCTTGGACGCGGCATTAGATGGATCGGGATCGGGAGAAGAGGACCTGGGGAGCATTCCCCGGAGCTCTATTCGCCCCTTCCGGAGCAGCGATGTAGCAACAGCAGCCGGAGGAGGAGGGGTAGGGAGATTAGGAGAAGGAGAGATGAACCTGCTGCATCAGCATCGCCAAGAGCATCAGAAGCCTGTCTCGGAAATGACCTTGGAAGATCTTCATCAGCATATGTCGGCGCTGCTGGGGCCCGGCCGGTATGAGGAAGCGATCTCGCTCTTCAAGGATTGGACTATCAGCGCGGACGCTGATGGCCAGCACCACCGGCCTGACCTAATGGCCTACAACATGTTGTTGTTGGCTTACAACCGCTCCGCGTCAAACACAGAAAAGCTGTTGGCCGTTTTGGAGGATATGAGAAAGTCAGGCGTCGAAGCCAATCTGCTGACCTACAACATTCTTCTCCGAGCTGCTTTCCGCGTACGCGATTCGAATTTGGCGGAGTCCATCATTCGGCGCTTGGAAGATCCAGCATCGAAAGTTCAGCCTGATGGGGACTCGTACAACTTCGTTGTGACTATTTGCGCAATGGACAAGAGGGTGCCGCCGGCCTTACAGTACATGCAGTCGATGTTGAGGAGGGGTTTTGTGCCGAGCAAGACGACGTATAGCGAGGTTTTGACAGCTTGTGCGAGGACACGCAGAACCCGCGATGCCGTGGCCGTGATGAACGAGCTGCAGACGCAAATGTTAGAGCCGTTGCCGGTAGTCTTGGGAGAATTGCTGACGGCGGGAGCAGAGAGAGACGATGCGGAGTGCTCGCTTATGGCGCTGCAGAAACTGGGGCGCAGGAGGTTGGGCATAGATCAGGGCGGGCTTTTGATGGCGCTGAACGCCGCCGCCAGGACGGGGCACACAGATCTTGCCGAGGCGGCATGGGCGTACCTGAGGGAGTGTCTGGGGGCAGAACTCCCTCACCCTGCTTGCTATCTTGCTCGCGTTCATGCTTATGCTACTAAAGGCGATTTCGAATCAGCGTTCCGCGCCGTACAGGAGCTTGAGACGGCGTACGCTTCCTCTGAAGAGTATGGGGATGCGCGGGGGAGGGGGGGGGGGGGAATGGCGGCCCCGGGCAGAAGTAACAACGCCGCCATGTCTGCGACCTCCTCCGCCGCCGCCGCTTTGGCTCACGAGCTCCTCTCTCCCTTCTCGTCGCTCAAACCCCTCGTTGTCGCCTGCAGCCGCGGCTTGGGCGTTCTAGATACGGCATACTATAAGCTGGCGGCGATGCACGAGTCAGGTGAAATTGTGTCTCTTGCTGCTATCAATTGCATCATCGCCGGTTGCTCAAATGTCCATGACATGGATCGGGCCTTTCAGACCTTCGAGGAGATAAGTAGGACCTTCGGGATGGCGCCGAATGTGCACACGTATAATGCCTTGATCGACGGCTGTGCAAAGACGAAGCAGATTGCGATGGCAATCCAGATGTTCAAGAGGATAGAAGCGAACGGATTGGCGTTCGATGAGCAGTCGTTCCAGTTTCTGATTGATGCGTATGTAATTGATGGGAACGCACCCGGATCTGTAGAGGCCCTTGAGTCGATGATGGCGGCGGGTTTCACACCGTCGAGGCCAACCCTCGTGCGTGTGCTTCGGCGGTGTCAACGCACAGGCTATGCCCAGGGTGGTGACAGGGTGAAGAGGCTCTTCATTCAGTATGGATATCGGGCGGCCACGTCGGGAGATCGAAGACGTCAATCGATCTGGAATGCAGCCAATGCCGGTAGAGATGACCCAATCGGCGCGGGAGAAAGGGAGGGGGAAGGTGGGGGGATGATCCACGAAGAAGTACTGTAAGACGCGTTCGTACGGGAGCCGTCGGAAGTTTTCATTCTTTTTTCTAAGGGGAGAGAGAGATAGACACACACACACACACACACACACAGAGAGAGAGAGAGA